GTTGCATTTTAGTTTCCTGACTGATGCTGTTTAATTGTTTGCGTAAATGTCTTGATACGGATCAACAGGCCGTAGCACTTCTTTTCCAGAGGCGACAGTAAGAATGAAGGCATCTACCAAGAATGTTGAAGCAATTGAAATTTAAGCAACTGGTGGAACAGCACTGCAAGGAGCCAGTAAATGGACAGTTTGAGGATTGTACAAAAGAAGTGCTACCTGGAGTGGAGATGCCAAGCAGTAGTGATGAAGAGGACCAGAACATTACCACAGAATAGTTTAAAATGATTGTTATAAACGTGTGTAATGGTAATAAAGTCGCTCTTTTAATCATTGACATAATGTGAGTCACTTAATTTTTGCGTCATGTTAATTTCACGACATTTAATTTTCGCGTCACTTAAATTTCGAAATTCGTTAAATTAACGTGTCACGAAAATTTCATGTAATAAGGTAATGCACAATTATTGTGTACAGTGACCAAAGCAGCCAATGAGCTTTCGAGCAGCAACCCTAAAGAAGTTAATGAATGTCCTTCAGTGCTGAAAAGTCCATTTTCTTGGTAGACTTAAGCTCAATTTTTTTGGCATTTTGGTTAAAGCAACTTGTGCTGAGGTTGAAGAGTTTCCTCTTGGTGAACATAATACAGCACAGTTTATCAACCACTCAAAAAAGGACTGAGCCAAGAAAGACTCAGCAAAACTGCAGGGATTTTTTGGTCTCCTTTGTTATCAAATTATTCAATTCAACTGTGAAGAAAGACTGCTTTACACAGTGAAAAAAAAGCTTCTTTTCATGCAGGACTTGGATAGAGTGACTGAATTTTTTGTGTGAATTAACATTTCAAATTTTTATCCAATAAAGTTGAAGGAGCTTGTCACCTGCATTTATCACATAAAATACTGAAGCATGCTTAAAGTGCCTATGAAGTAAAAAATAATTCCTGCTTATTTGAAAGACTTTTCAAAGTAAAGAAGAATGGTGTTTTCCTTTTTGGAATATCTTTTTTCGCTTTAGAGATATTCCCGTTTTCGTATTATGCAAATGAGGAAAGTGATGACGTTATAGGTGGTTCCTCTAAAACAGCACAACACTCAATCGAGAATAACATCACAAAAGAAACAGAATGACACCTACTATGTTGTTGCCATGGCAACACT